TGCAGCAGTCATTAAACTAAGTGCTTAACAAAATCAGTGTCATTGCGAAGGGCCAAACACCCACATTTATACATCCTTCTTAGAGGCACAGTGAGCTCCTTGGGGGCAAGGGGAAGTGGCCTGGGGTGGGTTAGAGGAAGGGGGTTGTGCAGACCCCTTGAGGGGGGCAGGGGATGGGGGTGAAGTTTTACCTGTCCCTGCTCTCAGCAGCTGACTGCTGCTGTAGCAGCATGGGCTCAGGCTGCTGCTCAGCCGCCTGCCACTGGCGGGCAGGCTCACTATACACCAACTGCTGTAACCACCCTACCACAGCCTCCCTAGGAGCCACCCCTGGTGCCACATTTACTCCCCCTCCCCATCCAGATATGTTACTGGGCACAGGCTGCATCTGCTATGGCAAAGACTTCCAGGGCGAGGGGCAGGAGTGGGGGTGGGCAGGGAGCGTTCCACTTGCCCCTCTGCCCTCCAGATACAGCCTCTCCCGCAGTAATGTATTTGTCCAGCTCCTGTGGCTGGGCAGCACAGAACTATTTCTGCCACAGCAAACATTTGCGGGATGAGGGGTGGGAGCAATTCTGGCACCCACTCTAAGACAGTGCCTGGACCTGGTGTCCTAGTCACTCCCCGCTAGTTAAGCTACTAATCCTCATATACCATCTGGAGCAAGGAGCGCAGCACCAAAAAGCAAGCTGCATTATTTCACTGCTAGGTGACTTCCCACAAACACCACACCTCACTCCAAGGATGCACTTGGTTCCCTGGCACTCATGGGACTTCTGGGGATGAACTTGCCAAACAGTAGCTCCCCACTTTATATCACCACAACATGAGGGATGTTTGTACCGGTAGGGAAATCTAACTCATGGCTTTAAAGGGATCATGAGAGGAGACATGTAGAGGAGCCTCGGGATAAATGAGAGCAGCAGAACAGAACCATAGCTAACTGCTGCAGTCAGATCAGGCTATAACAAGGCCTCATTATCTCACCTATAGGGGAGGAAGGATGGTCGTGCAGACAAGGCTCTAACTTTGGGCTCAGAAGGTCCAAGATCTGTTCCATGTTCTTTCTGTGCACCCTTGTGCAACCATGTAATCCTCAAATGTATTGAGATGCCTAATTCCTACAGGGAAGAGTACAACCATGGCAGGACAGTCTGCATGAGTCCACACGGAGACCTGAGTCAGTGCTTAAGCCCCAGTCCATGGCATGGCAGGTAGACTGTTGCCATGCCTGGACTGACTTGCATAATCCTTCCTTGGCAGAGCACAGCACTACCACATAGTGATGCCTAGGGAGATGTGTGTAGTCATTAGAAATCAGTCAGGGCAGGTTTCCTGTAACATGGGCAGCTGGATCCTAGGAGCTGCGGAAATACATGTTTCTCACATTGAGGACCCACGTTCTGTCAAATGCAAGTGCTTAGTTCTGCTAAAGGCTGCCATTCTTTGTAGCAACAACCAACTTCACGATTACCTAAACTTTTTAAAATACAGATTTTGTTCCACAATCCTCAGGCTACAAGTAGCGTAGCTAGAGGGGTTGGGGCAAGAGGGACACAGGCTTCTTAGTGTATACTATACTTCATGCATCTGTAACTGTCCTGCACGGCTGGCCCACAAGAGCCATTCAACATTGGGAAACAGACTGGGAGATGGAAGAGCTTGTCTTCTTTGACGCTCTGAATAAAATCTAGGTATGATTTGGAGATCAACCAATCGTACAACCTTGATAGGAATAGTAACTAAAAAAAGTTCTTGTTCTAGATATGACATTCTTTATTTTAAAAAATCACGTTTCAATAAATGACAATTTTTCTTGTATATCCAGCATATTACATTTCTTTAGTCAAAGAAAAGAAAATTAAAATGCTGTTTGCTACACTTAAAATCAACTCAAATCCCATCACGTAATACAAATTACAAGTAAGTTTCTGCCCTGGTCACTAGTGTTTCTCCTCCAAGGACTTGGCCAGTACCTTTGTCCTGGTCATACCTATCCCATACAGCAGTGGGGGTGTTGCAAGCCTTGGCTATTTTCAAGGGGCCTAGGCCAAGTTGCAAAAGTGTGGCTAAACAGAAGCTATCAAAGCCTGTTTCTGAGTGACCACAGAGTGAAGCTTTAGATGAGACAACTAACTTGATCTACAAAGTAAAGGAAGCCATCAATGGACATCTATACATGTGCTCCAGGGCAGGGGCAAATTAGAGCAGATCTGACGGCCGTTCTAATTAAAGCGCTTGCATTAGCACCCCTGCGCTTCAAAACTTGTTCAATGAGTTTTAGGTAAAGCCCCCCCGCTGCCATTTGGAAGCATAGGGATGCTGATACATGAGACATGAAGGCTGGCTGGAGCACGGTAATTACCACACTCCAGCAGACTCTATTAATTAAGTCTGCTCTAATGCGCTGTAGTTGCAGTCCACCAGACCAGCCTCCATGCTTGTGTATAGGCACCCAACATGTCTGTCTAAACCAGTAATGAGATACAATTTAACAGAATGCAAGGCCTGAAAGGAGACACTATAAAGGAAGATTATTATTAAATAATCTTATTTAACATATTTAAATAATGTACATTAAACACATATATTAAATAGTATCTTAAATATATTAACTAGGCATTAATATATATGCATTAAATAATGTAATATATATAAAACTTGTATTGTTATTAAATAATCCAAGCATACTATATAGCTTTTAGTAATTGATATAACCAAATGTATTAGATGCTGTTTTGATATAATAGAAGCATTTTTTCCTAAGATTTTTAGATAAGCTATAAGAAAACAAAGCAGCTTTGTTTATAGAAAACCATACATTTTTGGGGAAAAGAAAAATAGGATGAGAGCAAGCAGTATTCCATAATGCTAAAGAAAAGAGATAAGAATCCTTCCCTCCAGAAGTGTAATTTTCACAGAAACATAAATCACAACTAATTGACACCTTTCATATCCACAACTGATTCAGTCCAATTCCAAAAGTTTCAGTGAAACAAAATTTAAAAATATATAACCAATCAGAGATCATTTATTAGACTAGTAGAACTGGCCATCTGTAAATACAGGGTATAGGCTGGAGGGAAATTCAGAGAACTCAGTAAATTCAAAAAGACCTGCTGCCAATGTGCATGCTACCATCCACCTCTTGAGTCCCCACAGCAGTGTAGGTGAGAATCGATGTTCTGCTGTCATGGGTAGCCAGATAGACCTTGGGATAAATGTTTGGTTTTGCATTTCAAAATGCAAGGAAATTAAAAATGGGGCTGCAGACCTGTTTCTGCCTCTTATCAGTAGCCAACCAGCAAGGTTACCTGTAATCTGGCTAATAGGGGTCAACCTTTTCAGCAGGTGTGTCACAAGGTAAGACTTGTCACCTCCCTGAGCACCACTCCAGTCCCCTTCCCCTGTCTGATTTGCTGCTCTGCTTTCTGCTCCCTGTCTTCTGCTTCCTGCCCTGTCTGTGTCCACTGTCCCCAATCTGCCATTTATCAAGAGTCATCCTGTTCTGTTAAGAAGCAAATAACCTAAGACTAAGGTTATATCTATACCAGGAAAATGGACTGTATTTTAAGCCAGACATAAGCAAAAGCCAAGTGGGCCGATGTATACAACCAAGGCTTGGAATTGTCTGGTCTGCGAAACGCACAGGGCCAGATCTGCAAGAAGTAAAAATCAGCATTGTTCAGCTGAAGTCAGCGAGTGAGACCAGCTTATGCTGTCTCAAGACCTTCAGCACAAACGTTGAACTATACAAGGCAAAGACTGTGCCTCCATCTTATGCACAACACCAAGCACAGTGACAGTGCACAGGAAACAACTGGACATCAACGAATGTAGATGTTTTTATATTCTGCCCTCCTCCATTTCTCTGATGTGAATCTATTCTTTTTTGGGGAGCTGAGGTGTGAGAAGTTGCTCCACATCCAAGCCCACCCAGAGTGTGGATTGCTGCCTTGCTGTTTTTGCTAGCTTCATTGGTAAATCTCACCATCATTGATCCTATTGCCATTACGCTTGGCATGCACTTGCATTACATGCCTCAACTTCCAATGTCTTAAATTTCTGAGAGAATTCTCTTTATGTCTTAAAAGTGTTCCATTGATTCTCTGCCCAGAAATGAAACTAATTTGCTGACTTTGGGGAAAAATTCTATTCATTTACAGATTTGGCGTTGCACATAAAGCACCTTTGTGGCTAAGCTGTGTTCCTACTATTTCTACTTCAAAATATTTTGTTCATTCATTTTTCAGTTTTACAGGTGAGGAGATTTTTCATCAGACAAACATTAAAAATATAGGCACCTGCTGCTTAAACGCTGTTTCTCTTACCACTATTTTGCTGTAATGCTCATTATAAATTGATCCCTGATTCCCCTTAGCGCTCAGCGAGTTTTGTTATAATGCTTGCGGTTGCCATCTTGGATCATAAAAAATTGAACATTTTTGTTTTCTGTTGTTTTAAAACACAAAAGCAAACTTTTCTGCAGAAATCTGATATTTTTTTTCCATTTCCTTAAAAATCTGTCAGGGAAAATCCCATCCTATTCTGACCACCTCTGTTCATGAGCCCTGCACCATGACTGTCATGAGCTCACCTCACATGACCTTGTGTCGCTAGGTAGACCATATCACCAAATATCCCTCTGGATCAATTAGTCCATCTGCTAAAAGGGGGAGGAGGGGCCTGAATGGTATTGAGGTTGAATTAAATCCTCCTACAAAGTGTTTTGAAATCCTCTGATGGGCAATGCTAGAGAAGCAAGACCCATCTTTTGAAGCCTGTAGATTTTGGTTAGTTTGGTGCATTGGAAGTCTGGCCCCACTGCCACTACTTGTACTTAGCACTGGCAAGTGGTGTTCAGGGCTTCCTCTTGTCAGTATTACGAGCATTCCTGTGTCAACGTCCAGGGCCAAGGACACAGGCTGTACACTCAGATGTAAGCTGGGCTGGTGGAGTGGATACAGCTGTTGTTAAGGTGAGCCTTAACCCACAACTCTAAAACTTTGGACCCGCAGCCTGAGCTGGCCCCTGCTCTCAGTGCAGAAGCCATTGCAGATGAGAGGCGAGGCAGCTCCCTTTGGCTTTCAGAATAAAACCCCAGGAACTGTTCTCTGTCCCTTTGTGGGATCTCTCCCCTGTGCCCAGGATAAAACCTAAGGATGCATGGAGATGAAACGGAGGCCCTAAATTGAAGCGGTGGGTTTTTAAAAACATTGCTTCAAGTTAGGGTGAAGTAACCCACCGTGTCATTTACACCTGTGTCTTACCTGCCTCTCCAGCAGCGGGGAGAGGAGGGCGAGCTGCTGGCGGGTGGAAAGGTCTCTGGGCTGAGAGGGGGAGTGGGGGCTGGTGCTTCCCTCTATGGCAGCGGTGGCCCCCCATCCCTCCCCAGGCGGCACCCACTCTCAGGCACCAGGCTCAGATGGTCCTGGGGGCACCGCAGCCACGGAGGGAAAGACCAGGTCCCCGTGCAGCTCATGCAGACAGGCAGACTCCAGGGGAAGAAAAAAAAAAGATCAAGCTAAAAAAGATCAGGCTCGCCACTTTTTTTTTTTCTTTGGTGGAGCCTGCCTTTCTGGGCTGCTGCATGCACGGGCTGCCTGCAGAGTCCCTGAGCTGCATGGAGCCTGGTGCTTCACTCTGCGTCTGTCGGGCAGCAAACTGAAACTCCTCAGGGGTGTTTTAGTTTGCTGTGGCCCAAAGTCATTCAAGGTGCATTACACCACCAAACATGCTACAGCTGCTGGAATGAATGCACAATATGCCACCGACGCGTGTGAACACCAGCACCATTAAAGCAGTGCAAAAGCATTTAACCTGCTTTAAAGTGTCGTGCAAACATGCCTCTCGTTTTGTCTACACATGCCCTAAGACCTCAGCCCTCCCCCATGGGAGCTACCACCAACCTTCAGCATAAAGCCCTGAACATAATTCCTGGCTAAAACTCCAAGTTCACAGGCCCTTTCATCTGGGCACTCTATGGCCTGTTAAATAAACCCGGATGGAAAGAAAGTCGAGACATGAGGGAAGAGCCCTCACCTCTGCCATCTGACAGTA